CCTCCAGAAAACTTCAAAAGCAAACTAAACTTCTGTGAAGAGGTGAAATACCTTGGTACTATCCTTGACAGGAAACTAACATGGAACTCTCACATACAGAGTAGAGCAATTTCGGAGGATAGTGGGAGGCGCATGGGGTCTTTCACCCCGTGTAGTCGCCTGGATCTACACTGCAATAATAAGACCTATGTTAACGTATGGAGCCATTGCATGGGGACCGAAAGTTCTACAAGCAACGGCCATCCAAAAATTATATCAAATACAGCGACTGGCTTGTTTAAACATCACAGGAGCCATGAGAACAACACCAACCGCGGCAATGGAATTAATCACGGGTCTGACCCCTCTGGATCTGTACGTTAAGGAGGTTGCGTTAATGGCCATGGTACGATTGGGCACGGCTGGTGTAAACCTCGAAGTAGGAATGGGTCAATTGAGGCTAGGCCTATGGCGGGAAGCGCTTACTGCGCAACCTCTGCTGCAGGCAACAAGTGATGCAATTGAACCCAGGTTTGTGTTTAATAAACCCTACGAAATACAAATTAAGCAGAACACAGAGTCAGATGCTACAAATGCAATACGGATTTATACAGATGGCTCAAAAACCAAAGAAGGCTCAGGATGTGGAGTGTACTCCAGATCACTAAGCCTAAGGATTAAGTGGGGAATGGGGAGAAATACCAGCGTGGTCCAAACAGAACTGGCTGGTATCTCAATCGCCACAAAAGAAATAACCAAGAAAATAATTTCTGGCAAAAACATAACAATCTGCACTGATAGCAGACAAGCACTATTAGCCTTGAACAGACAGCGTGTTACTTCAGGGCTAGCACTAGAGTGCCACCAAGATTTAGCCAAAGCCTCGGTAGATAATAACATTATCCTGAGGTGGGTTAAAGGGCACGACAGGAGTAAAGGTAATCGCATTGCCGACTCTTTAGCCAAGAAAGCGGCTGGACTAAGAATTTTAGGACCCAGTGGCACCCACGGCCTGATGACTTCGACAATTGCGGAACTAGTCAAATGTTACACCCATGCTCAATCTTTAAAGAGATGGGATGAAATCAAAGGATGTAACCTTGCCAGGATCACCTTGGGCGACCCTGGGAAGCTGGCGCCGAAGAAATATCTGGCGATGACCAGGAAAAATCTACGCCTTACAGTAGGATTTCTGACTGGCCACTGTCAGCTAAGGAAACACCTACATAATATGGGGCTAGTGGACACACCTCTATGCAGGATGTGTGAACAGGAAGATGAGACTGTCAGGCATGTCCTGTGCGAGTGCCCGGAGTTATCGTCAATAAGAGAGTGTGTGTTCGGCGAGTCTTGGCCTACACCTGCCGATATAAAGGAGATGTCTCCCAGCGACCTGTCCACCTTCCTGGAAAGGACAGCATGGACGACAACCTAGGAGAACAACTCCTCGGGAGGATGTACAATGGGTCACATGTGGCCTAAGTGCGTGGGCTTACACTCACCCTCCCTACTCTACAGATACCTGTCTAGTTGAATGACTGGGGACGTGTGAAGATATTTTGGAAAGAAGCTCGGGACTGATACTCAGTCCGTTGATAATTTTGAATAGAAGTATTAAATCTCTATGTTTTCTGCGAGCCCCACGAGAAGGTATGTTCAAAATGCAGTATAATCATGCGCAATATAATTCACATTTTAAAGTGTTTGAAACTTGATTGTATTCAATTTGAATGTTTCATTTTTAGATTCATATGAACACATATTGATACTTTTACAATTTTCCTTTTGACATATTTCTCATGACAAAAATATTCTACCACTCTTGTGAATGACTATAAAATATTCTGTTGAAATAAATGTATCTAGCAATAACAAAAGACATCTACCCTTATCAAATATAATGAAAACTGTCAATAATGAAAACTTACCTGTTGAAAATGAATCAAATTCAACAAATGAATATTTTATAGAAAAGATTCACAACAATGTGATTGGTTGGTTTCCGGGTTTTGCCGTGGTCTCTGAAACTGTTTCAGTTGATACGTCAAGAAGAATACTTCGACCACGCCACTGAAGATGACAGCCGCAGCTGAAACGTTTGGAGATTGTAACCAAAGAAGACCACGACAAAACCCGAAAACCAATCAAAACATTGACACCAGCCGTGAAAGCCTACATTCCAAAATCACAACAATAATACAATTCTCAACTATAACATGAACATCGACAAATTTCACATGAGCTTCTTCCTTTATCAAAAAACACCAGCAGAAGTGATCTCCCTGATAAAAAAAACTATATTGAAACCAGCGGAAGGTATTGATATAAGTGGTAAAGTCATAAAAAGCATCACTGGGTGTATTGCTGAACCCTCATCTTATCTAATCAACGAATCTTTCACTACAGGCGAGATTCCCAATGTGAAGGAGTCTAAAGAAATACCATTCTTCAAAAATAAGGAAACAACAAATGATATAATAGATTATCGTCAGATTTGCTTACCAAGCCATATCGCTGAAAAATTTGAAATAGCATATTTTGACTGGCTGACTTACTATCTTGAACGATTTAACCTACTACCAGACATTCAGTATGGGTTCGGGAAAATTAAATCCACCATCAGCGCCATAGGAGGTTGAATAGACTTTATTTATAAGGCACCTAATGACAAACAAAACCCTATTAGAATTTTCATGACCTTGGTTGTGCATTTGACTTAGAAGATCACAAACTGTAAGTGATGAAAATGGAAGCCACTGTAGGTGCACCTCAGAGTTCGGTACTTGGGTCACTGGTCTTCATCATTTTCATCAGTGATATTAGCAGAACTTGTGGCACACCTGATCGAGTCATAGAATATGCAGATGATACAAACACATTATCAATCCGAACAACTCAGCGATAAGTGTAATAAAGCACCTACTGAATTTAGTAAGTGCTGCCAAGTTAATGGTCTAACATCAAATGCAACAAAAACGAGATATACGCAGTTTCTACCAAAAAATATAATATAATTTGCATATAATTTGCAAACTTCATTAACATATTGACGTCAAATCTATTGAAGTCACGGATAAAATGAAATTCCTGGGGTTGATGCTACGTAGAATCAAACCTCACTTAGGAATAACACATGAACAAAGTAACCACAGAATTGAGTTCTCTTTGTTGTTATCCGAAATATAAGAGACATAATATCACCCCATGTACTAAAGCTCCTATAATATGGGTTGATGCACTCCACTCTTCAATATTACTTAATATTTTGGGGCCATGCTTTAATGTCGACAACATTATCATGTAAGCGAGTCTTTAAAAAAGAAAACATTTTGACTCTACCAAGTTTATATATTCTACTTTTTATGTACATCAAAGAGTAATAAGTAAAACTGGAACCTCTGGAAGAGAATAAATCCAAAATAAGCACTTTTTCCAAACTACAAAAATGTTATTTTCTTCTTGACACGTGTTTCACCAACCAAGTTTGCGTTTTCAGGAAATGAAGAAAACTAATTCCTAAGTCAACAACCAAGTTTCGTTCATCTCCTAAAGACAACAACTTGGTTGATGTCATAATGATAAAGAAGTATAAACTCTGAAAATCTTTTAAAAAAAACGAATCCCTTCTGAAAATATTTTTTCGACTTATGAGGGTTATTGTTATTGGACTTCTCTAACATTTGTTGACACGTGGGGTGTGTGAGACCCCAATATGATTTTTCTGTTAAAATTAACATTTTTTTGAATTCCAACATTGTTGTTATGAGAATTCTACACTGTAATATCTCTTTTTGCAATAATAGTGTATTATATACCTAGGGTGAGAAGTGAGCTATTATTTACCGAGCATTTTTATATCTTGAGGCGCGTAGCGCCGAGGGATATAATGTGCGAGGTAAATAATAGCTTTCTCAGCCGAGGTATATATAGAATTTTTTTCACTACTAACATTGATATATTAACAATTTTAATTTTGGCATTAGTAATTTTTTAACAATTTGTTGAATATATCGGAATATCAAGTAGAGTGGAGCGTGTTTCTAATCAGACTGGCTTTATTTATGTAAAAATTTGGCATGTGTCAAATTTTGATATGAATCTAGCAAATATCTCATTGCATTTTTGATATACTTCAATATTCCACCTCTCTCATCGCTTCTGTATGTATAGAACTTGTAATTTCTCAATTCTGCATTATAGTGAGAAAAAATTTCCTTGGTTATATGATAACCTAAGGCGGCTATGAATTGTTGCATGTCAAATTGAAACGGTACAGTTTCCATGTTGAATGCACAATGTCGATGATAAGCGCGCAACATCTACTTAGGCCATGAAAACGTTTGCCGGCGTTTCCATGAAAACCAAACACTGTACAATGTACAATATCTTTAAAATTATAGAATTGTTCTCATTAATTACTTAGGTGTTTTTTTATTATCATTATTTACCAAGGGTGAGAAATATTAATTCTCGTTAGGGGAATGGAGTAAATAATAGCAATTTCTCAGGTTAGTAGTGAATAAAATTATTTTCAATTTACCAAAACGAGCAAAAAATCGTTGTATTCCGTCTTTACTAAAACAATTTCTTTTAGTAGAAAAAAATACAAATTTACTCGAAGAAGTCTTTTGCACATAAAACGACTACATAATTATCAAATTGCTGGTTCAAACAGATAATAAAACATCATAAAATAGAAATAAAAAAAAAGTTACAGTTCCTTAATATTTGCCATTTCTACGCAAGATTTTCAGTTCATTTCTGCATGGTCCAGACATACGTCAAACGACCACTGATTTGAGATGTGAATATGAGAGTGGAGGCTATATGCGGAAGCTACTGAATATATCCGACACTGGGGCGCCATTTTCGAAAAGTTATATGGAATTTTCTACGGCTGGGGTATGTCACACCCCACGTGTCGGAGGCGGGATTAAGGGCGCAACAACTGGTTACCAGATTTTAAACAGATTTCCAATCAGCATTAAATACTAACCAATAAAAATTATAGGCAAACTAACCTGCACATGGTGACTGTGATTAGGTACAATATTCTGGTCGACCGTCATGGGATCCAGCACCCCTTCATTGATGCCCTTATCGATGGCATTCTGCAACTCAGGATTCGACACCAAAGACTGTGCCACCTGATACAGAATGTCCTCAGATATTTCATCATTATTCAAATTATCCAAAAGTGTAGGGTCCAAATCCAGACCCGTCCCATCCAAATTGATATTGTTCTGATCCAAATTCTGGGCAGAATGTTGCAGCATGGTGTCCATAGTGAATGATTTGGTGTCTTCGTTCATGATGATCGACCGGATGTCTTCGGCACTGGGAATATCCTCCATGTTCACACTTTTTCTCCTAGAAGTTTCAGAAACTCTTCTCTCAGGTTTTTTCTCCTTGAATTTCGCACTTTCGTCGGTACTGGGACGCTTTGGCTTCATATCTCCCATGCTACTTCTCCTCTCCTTATTCCTAGATTCGTTTTTCTCAGGACTATTGTGGGAATGTTTTTCCTTTTCATTTCTACCATCGACACTTGTCCTGTTCTTCACTGGGGTCTGCTGAGCTTCCACAGACTTCCTGTGTGGCTCCTGGGGCAGGATTTTAGCAGGCTTTCCTGGGCTTGAAGCTTCTGGTGTCATAGGAGTGAGGGGCTCCTTCCCCCCAACACGCCTGATGATGTCTGGAGTAGAGAACAACGCAAAATCGTCTAGAATAGGTTTGATAACTTTCTTCTCCTTCTTCGGAGGCTTTTTATCGATTGGTTTAGCCTCTTCCACGGGCTTTTCTGACGGAGGTTTATCTTCAATCGGCTTCTCCTGCGGATTTTCCTCCTTCACCTCCTTTATTTCTTTCTTCGCCTCTTTCACTTCCTTTGCGTCACTACTAACGCTTTTCTTCCTCTTGGGGCTTCTTGGAGTCCCCTTCGACTCGACCTTCGATCTCCTGCTAACCCTCCTGGGCGTCTGTTTCACTTTTAGTTCCTCCTCAAAGTCATAGTCAGAGTCGTCCTTGTCATCCTCCATCTCCAAGTCCATTTCGTCAACAAAATCATCATAGTCATCACTTTCTTCCTCAATAACCTCTTTGGTTTTAACTTTTGCCTTGGCAGGCTTTGGTCGTTCTGGTTTGGGAGCAATTTTAGCTTCGGTCTTGATGATTTTTGCTTTTGTTTTCGAAGGGGTCTCGACTGGTAGAAGTTTTACTTCCTGTGGAGGGGGTTCTTTAACTTCAACTGAGCTGGGCTCTATCTTAGGTTCACTGGGAGTAACGGGAGGTTGAGTTTTTTCAGGAACCACTTTCTGCTCTACCACAGGCTTCACAATTTCTGCAGGTGTCTCGACAGGGGAAGGGGGAACAGCAGATTTTTGTAGAACCACCTTATTGCTCTTGTTTGGTGGCGCGATAGTGATTGACTGGATCAGTTTTACTTTGGGAGGGGTCTTTATGGGTTGTTTATATGAAGATGTCATCACCAGAGGAGGTGGCTCGGACATGCTCAAAGGGGGCATCTGGAGTGCCGGATCGGGGCCGTCAAGTATACTGAGAGCTTTTGCCAGTTCATCTTCTGGCGGAGGGCTATCATTCCGAGGGGACATCAATAGCGTATAATCATGGTCTAGCTTGAAGTTGCGCAAGTTTCTAGCGACTTCTTCCATGTCCATCGAATTTGTTCTCACGACTTCTGAAAAAGTACAGAGATCTTAATTTTGAAATCTTAATATGCATACAGATTTTTGTTATGCTAGCGAAGAAATAATTGAGAAAGAAAATAGAACACATCCAATAATAATAATTATTATTCAATCAATCATTAATTCATTTCAAATAAAAACATCTGATGGTTTACTAGCTTCAAATAATGAATTACTGAAAAGAGAACTCCTGGAAAATTTGATGACAAATTTTAAAGTTACTGTAAAACCAGCCTCTTATTTTCTTTGGTTTAAAAATAAACAGGATGGATCTATTTGAGTAAGTCAAAAAGCTTATACCAGAAAGGTATTGGAGCGTGTTGGAATGGGAAACTGTAATCCAATTTCCATCACTATTACAAATGAGCATATTCAACCAAGGAAGGACAAGGAGCAGATTTCAACAGAGAGCAAGATGTTTTAACACTTATGTATTCATGACTTGCACGCTTCCAGATATAAGCCTATGCAGTTGGATTTGCTTCTAGAACCCTAGAAAATCCTAATAACGATTGTATTCATCTAACAGGATATTTCGTTATCCTCAAAGTACATCAGACTACGGAATTCTTTATAAACCTCGATTCAAAACTGGTATTATAAAGAGTTCCAAATGATGCAGACCATGGAGAAGACAATACAACAGGTCGATCAATTACAGGGGTAGTATGTATGTATGCTGATGGTGCAGTCTCATGGCTCAGTCAGAGACAGTCATCAGTTGCCATATCTACAACAGAGGCAGAAATTGTAGCTACGAGTGAAGCAGCTAGAGATTAATTTGGCTGAAATTATCAAGCCAGAGGGAACACCACTGTTAATGGTAGATAACGAAGTTGCAATTAGATTGTCCCAAAATCCAGAGTACCATATCTGCACTAAGTATATCAAAACAAAACATTTTTTGTGACAGAACTTGTTACAGAAGGTTCTGTTGAAGTAAGAAAAATAGCATTGTTGAAACCACATTGCATACTCTGTGTGGAAGTATGAGCCTGAGTTGGGATAATTATTCTACAATGGGGGAAGTGGTTCATATAAGAATATTCTCTCTAATTTGTATTTTTGATTGGATCACCCTAAATTCATTTATTCAAGAATGACAGGTTGATTTCTAAGTAACGTTGAATGTTGTTGATGTTGAATTCATTTGAGTAATATGAAAAGCTGAGTTGTTTCCTGTATACTGAAAAAGTATTCCTTCGAATCATATACCAACAATTTCGAACCCCAATAGGTCTCATCAATGGTGCTAAGCTGAACCACAAATGCATTGATGGACTCAACTGTCTTTCAAAAACAAACCAGAGTAAAGGCAATAACATGTCCCCTTACGAAGACGCCATCTATGAGATCGATGTAGAACTTATATATCATAGATAAATGAGGCTCTTCAAAGCTGTCAGTTGCAAAGCCCAGCTTCGACATCAACCACTAACAAGAAATGTTCTCTTGGCGAGCCTCGTTCATCGTTGATATTCAAGGGTTGAGTTCTGTTGATCCCATAGATGGCGTCTTCGTACGGGGAGATGTCATCGCTTTTCCCATTGACAAAACAGTATTGAAAGGAGACTTGGAAAATGAATTATAATACACATCTTTCAATAAAGTAATGAAATATTTGGATATATCAGAATTCATTATTGTTTGATAATCAACAGTGTCCTTCATTTTTCATCAAAAATATCACCATATCTTTTGTTTCAGGAGAGGTGACTGAAATGTTAAAAATCATCCATTTCAAACAATCCTACCGAATCTTTGTTCCCAAATTCAGCCAAATGTTCCATCAAGAGAAAATTTGGCTGATCAACTAACATGTGTTGCTGAGAATTGGGGATCAAAGATCCATGGGGAGTGTTAGAAAAGACGGATTTTTAGTTAACTTTGTTTTGAACTGTTCCATTTGATTTTTGAGTTTGCCCTGTTGGCATGTTTAAATGTTGATGTTTTTTTGATGAAGTAGTTGCCAATTTTCATAAATAAAAGTCATTACGCAACTCATTTTCCTCTTTTGATTACGAACATATTCAACTATATAAAAATAGTCGAACCATTGCTAAAAATCGTTCAACATGAAACACATAGTAGAAATTATGAAAAACAGTGAAATGATTTCAATGATATATTCAGCAGTTACTTTACTAGGAATCAACATTTCCTGAAAAAAACCTAAGATGAAAATGTCTTACTTTTTAAAAAAAAGCCTCCTGTGTATTTTCTTTGGATAACAGAGGTGTTTTCTTTGCTATGCTCTGCTTCTAGAAGAATTAGAGCATACTTGAATATCTTTCACAAGTTTTTTTGGCTACTAATCTACAGCGAAGGATACATTGAATACTGATTTGTTGTAATTTTTTGTTTTGGGGATTTTCTCCGAATATTGTTCGAAAAAAATATCCCTGCTTCCAAAACTTCTGACAAACGATGTAAGTATATAGTTGGCTGGTTTCAGAGAACCTTGTAAGACCAAATTCAGTAGTTGAGGAGTTGTCATATGACCGTGCCCTCACTCTATATTTCTTTTTATTTTAGTAATCAACTTCTTTTTGACAAAGAACATTGCTCTTTCTTTGAATTTCAAAATAAGTGAGTTTTTTAAAAAATACTGCAATATTTGTGTTTTGACTTGAAGTATTTGTTCAAAAACGTTTTCTTAGCTGATAGTCATTCCCTAGAGTTTTCTATTAGGTATGTGAAATGAATCATAATTCAAACAGCTATGCAGAAGAATTAGCAACAATTTTCTATTAAATCAACTGCAGAAGGGGCAAGATCCAGACATTGTTTTAGAAAATAGTGAGTAATTTTTGCCTGATCTGCCCAAACTTTTAAAGAATGAGTCGCTACGCCAGTGTATAGAAATTTTAGGTTAACCCTACTATGTGTTTCGCTGTTGTCTTTCTATCCTATCATATTCCAGTAATAACAGAAGATTCGGTAACATTTCCATGTGAAGAGGGACACTGCAGTTATAGAATGTTTTTCCTAAAAATAAAAAATATTATTTACCTTCATTTATAGCATCGGGAATGTAAGTCACATTATTCACAGTAATGTCAATACCTTGTTTCTCCGACTGATTAAATTTCATGATTTGTATGTTAGTTGGTCCACTTCTCTGTTCTACAAAAAACATATTTGACTTTGGATTAACAAAATGTCAAAATCTGTTACTTACTCAAAAATGTTTCAACTGTATCTTGATCAGGTGTCACCGTACCATCTTCACCAACAAGCAGCAGTAAGCTGTTATCCAACTCATCATCTTTAATGTCAGTTACTCTAACAACGCTATTTGACATTTTCCTGCTTGTGCATCTGGAAAATCATTTATTTCATTCATTCGTTCACTCATCTGGTAATATAAGTTCCCTGCCATTTGAAGATTGATTTGTGGAAATGACAACCTGTACAAAAGCTGGGAATACTGAAGTCTCCCCTTAAGGAACTCTCGACAGAAATGAATAGCACAATAAAAATGACATAAAATTTATTAGCATTGGAACACATGCATAAAGTTAATATACAAATGTTTTTACACATAAGTGATACATATACAAGGGTGTCAGTGGATATAACTGTTCGAAGTACCTAATAATTCATATTAAACGCAAACAAATGCGTTTGTTTGTCCACTATTGAGGCGAGGTACATCAATTTCTGTAGTTTGTTTATCGATCGTTTGGCTTCAAACTTCCCTCGATTCACTCCACACTGTTTGTTTCACAAAATCTATGAACACTTGCCGAATTCTATATTTGACTGATTTACCAGCTAGCTTATTTAATGTTTAATTTCGCCTTTTTCTTCAAAAAAGCTAGGCCTCCATTTTGTTTAAAAAACCCAGCGAGAAAACAGCGCCGTGGAAACTATGGGAAATGGAATAAACAAATGACAGCATGACGATTCTTCTTCTTTTCGATTCAATGTCCTCTGCAACTAAGGTTATCCGGCCAAGCATGACGATTAACGGATGACAAATGACAAGTGACCGTACATGTCAAGAATGTTAGAAACGTCTGTAGACAACAACTGCTGGTATATTACCCTTCGTAATACAAAATGACATAGATACAGAGCACGATATTAATCTTCTCAATGAAATATCCCAACGTGGCGTGATAAGTATACGCCTCGAAGCACATAATTTATACTTATGATCTAATAATATTTCAGTTATAAGATTCGTGAATTGGGTGCAATAATTGATATTTTTCAAATAGGTATATAAGGTTACAAATGTAAATGCTTTTGATTCTCGGTCAAGCAAGTGAATCACAAAATGAACATACTATGTGTTTGCTAATCAATATTGTTTTCGCTGTATTTTATTGTATTCAACAGAAGACGAGGCATTTGATGTACGACTGGCAAATATCTACAATGACGATTGTGAAATTTTTGAATTTTCGTTCATAGTGTGAGAACATCGCCAGTTGAACGATATGATCAAATGTGTGAAGATATTCCTCCATACTGATATTACATTAGAGTTGACAGTGAACAATAAATTGTACATCATAACATAAAATACATCCATAATTGATAAGGATTGAGTGGAGGCGGAGTTTCAAATTCCCTGATTGATTCGGCCGTTACTTGATGAAGATCCATAGTAATTTCATAAACTACACCTCACGATTTGATCTCCACAAACTTTTGTGGAGATAAAATCGTGAGGTATAGTTTATGAAAAGTTTCAAATTCAATTGTTGGCACCACTGAATTTATATCCATTTTTTTCAGTAGTATCTACAACCGTGGTCGTCAAATTGCGGCCCGCAGCCGATATTTCTGCGGCCCGCCATGAAGTAAATAATTTCAATAGTCAGCTACATTTCATAACAAGATCAAAACAGATTTTGCGTTCGAATCCGACGACGGCGACGCGCTGTGCTTGCTCGTTACTGGAGGGTACGGGGGCGAAGTCACGACCCGCGCTCCCCGCTCGCCACGCCTATATACCACACTTGAGTCGAGTGTCAAGAAAGAAGAGCCGTGAGCCATTTCATTTGTTTCAACGCACAAGACTGAACGTTTCTTGCGTTACGAGTGTAATGGCGGGTGTATCATCTAAATGTGCTACTAAAAGGAAGATAACTGATGAGAATAGGAGTTTTCAAGAAAAATGGAAGAAATAGTTTTGTTTTATAAGTGGATATAAGGAAAGTACTGCGATATGTTTATTATGCCGGGAAACTGTGGTCGGAATTGAGCGATACAATTTATTTCGGCACTACACAAGTAAGCATAGTTCATTTACAGAAACCTACACTTTAAATACGATTCAAAAAAAGAATAAAATAATTCATTTGAAATCGTCAATTCATCGTCAACAAAATATAGTGACCACAGCAGTCGGGCAAAATGAGGCTATTACAAAAGCATCGTACCAAGTATGCAACATTCTTGCAAAACGCATGAAACCCTTTACTGATGCTGAATTGATAAAAGAGTGTATGATAACTGTTTCTCAAACGTTGTTTCAAAATTTTTCAAATAGTAAACAAATAATGGCAGAAGTAAAAAAGCTTACGCTTTCTGAATCCACCGCCGTGTTGAAGATATTTTGAAAAATTTGTTTAAGGCAGTAATTGACAAACTGAAAAATTGCAAATACTTCAGTCTAGCTTGTGATTCCAGTACTGATATAACTTCTATGTCTCAGTGCTCATTATTTGTTCGGTACTGCACAATGGACGGAATCATAGAAGAAGACTACTTAGCAGTAATTATCATGAAGGGGCATACGAGAGGTTGTGATTTTATGGAAGTTCTAAAAGAATTTGTGGAAAAACATAGAATACCTGTAAAAAAGTTGATATCAGTGTGTACTGATGGTTATCCATCAAAGGTGGGTGCAACTAATGGTTTGATTACTTTAATGAAGGAGGAATGGAATTTACCTAATTTGTTGCCCATTCATTACTTGCTGCATCAAGAAACTTTGTCATGTAAAATTTCGAATAAAAAATTGAAAGATGTTATGAATACGATTGTGAGCATTATAAATTTTATTCGTGCGCACGAACTTAATCATCGAAAATTCAAAGACCTTCTTGAAGAATTACAAGCTAATTATGGCGATGTTATCTTGCATACGGCCATCAGATGATTAAGCAAAGGAAAAGTATTAGAACGGTTCTTTCATTTGAAACACGAAATAATACTTATTTTACAACAAAGTGGCAAAGAATTGCCTCAACTACAGCAAAATGAATGGTGGGCACTTGCGGCTTTTTTGACCGATATTACCATGAAATTCAATAATCTAACTTTAGAAATGCAAGGACCTAATAAGATAACTGGACAAATGACAAATAAAGTGTTCGCATTTGAGGACAATCTGCAATTATACATAAATGAGCTCGAAGCAGGAGATTTTTCAAATTTTCCAACTGTTGCTGCTCTGCAATCTAAAGTTTTTATTCCAGACAGTACTATCTATCAAGATATGATATCCTATTTGAAAGAATATCTGTTAGAAATTCAAAATAGATTTGACGATGTGAGAAAAATCAAGAACTGTTTTATACTCGTAGAAAACCCTTGGCATGTTGAAAACGAAGATATAGAATTATTCTGCCAGTTTGAATTCTCTAAAACACAGTTGATGAATGAAATCATTGAACTAAAGCACGACACGCAGCTGAAAGCTAATTTCGTTGAACGCCGTGAAAAGCAGGAGTATATTGAGTTTTCGAAAAATGCACCTAGCAATTATAAATCTTTGCACAATTCGTTTTAACTATATTTTCTTCAACATATCTCTGTGAAGCTTCATTTTCGAAAATGAGCTTTTTGAAAAACAAATACCGCAATCGTCTTTCCAATATTTGTTGGTAAGTTGTGAAAACTAAATTACGCAGGCGCAAAGCCACCGCGACATACGTGTCAAAAAGCTGCGGGCTCTGATTACGGAATGTTGTGATGTGCCGGTGAAATTTGTAGTTAGTAATACAAAACTTCAAAATGAAAATCAGCACTTTTTCCATTCTAGGTTTGTAGAAATCTTTTCCGCACCGTTTTTATTATAAAAAAACTATTCTGTTTCAGCATTATTTAGTACTCTTTCCCTGCTTGCTTATCATACACATGCAAGTATAGGAGGTTACATTAGTTTGTCAGATAAAAAAAAGTTTCTACAAGTTCTTTCAAAATCCTTCAATATCGAGGGAGATGATGTGTCCTCATCTTACTACGGGGCAAAAGGGTTGAAATTGTTGAACGAACCCTACGAAAAATCAGTTGTGTCTGATAATTGTGCTCACATCAAGAAAAACTTTAACCCAGCCAAAAATATGGAGAGCACTTTCAATGCTCTCAGTACTTGGTCTCTTCTGGGATGTCAGGGAAGCTTACACAATTCCGCTAACATAAAGGTAAGGTAATGAAATGAACAATACTTACTTGGTGAGATGAAACATTATACCATTGCAAACAAGAACTTTTGAAACAAGATGTATATAATTCAAGCTGTGTAATATTCTTCCTAATGGTATGAAAATGGTTTTTGAAAAAAAATTAAGACATGTATTTTTGTCTGCTGATAAAAAAGTGAAAGTCAAAACTTCCTGCAAACTTATAAATAAACACAATTGTTTATGAAACTAAAATATACTTTCACAAGAGACTTGTTCATTGCTTTGTTGGCAGTGTAGCAAAATTGAATTCGAAATGAATGTGCTATCAAATTTATATGTCTATGGAAAAGATAGGGGATGCAACCTTCTTTTTTTATTATTTTGAATGTGAATTTCACAATTGATCTCGTGTTTCCAGTTTGTGTAAACCCCTATTCAGCCTACAGAACCACTTTGACTTCAATTATTTATTTTTAGGCCATAATTTTGTAAGATTTTCACTGGACAGTTTACAAAACCGCCACATGTGTTTTGCTATATAATAGCTTTTTCAAGCATTTTTATATTGACTAAATTCTACTTGGTTTGAGCTGTATATAATAACAATTTGGATCATATGACCTTACACCTAAGCAATAAATAATTATTTTATTTGAGAGTAGGTAAAAACAATTGAAAATTTTTAAACATAAAAAAATTACCAACTCAATAAATAGCTGGTAATGAACTAATTACAATTTGTGCATTATATAATAACAATTTGATTCATATGACCTACCTAATTGATGACTACATGAGTACAGGTAAAAACTAATTGAAAATTTGAAGATCATAAAAAAATTAACAAACTCAATGAATGGACATGTAATAAACTACTTATCAATTTCTACATTAGAAAACATATTCAAAAGAAATAAAGAAATTAATTCAATCTAGTTGTTTGACTGAATAGAATTGATTTCCTCGCCTCTTCCAAGCATTCCAAAAGATGAGTTCGAAACCTTTCTCTTCAAAACTTAATAGTTCATGGTCTTGGTTGAACTTATGCTCCTCTGTCAGAAGATCGTTTGCAAATGTTGAATTGGTCTTCACATTCAAGAAACCACTCAATATGTTCTTTTATTCTTTGGGAAAAGGTTCTCTCCGTTTGGCCAATATAAAGTTTTGGGCAAGAACCATAAGTTAATACACTTAATCTATCTGACACCATGAAGATCTAAGAATTTAGAGGTTAATTTTACCTTCAAAGCTGTGAAAGTTGCATTTTGATTTTTAGGAGACACGTTTTCTTAAAGTATAATAAAAACTTGTTCGTGTTTCACCAGCTCTTTATCTTTTTCATGTTTTCAGCGGCATCTTGAGCTGGTTTAATAACAATATCTGTGTTATAAAACTTTGAACCTCACTCACTATATATTAGCTTATTTAGTTCAACCAAAGGATGATTATACAAGTTTTCGAGAGGATTTGTAGATTGACAAAAACAAGCTCACAGCATTTCTTGAAAATCTTTTGCTTTTTTTTTAACAAAGGGCTAATTAAATTTTTAATGTCAAGTGTGATTCAATCTGTGAATCATAAGACATTCTATTCATTGGAATGCTGGTTTGTTAACTTTTTAATTGACAGGTCCAACAGTAAGTGAGCTAACAAAGATTACTGTTGAACACGATGAACTGCTGAACTCGTTTCTGAAAAAAAAAAAAAAGATAACTAAAGTATGAATGATGGAAGTTCAGCAGTTTCCTTCTGGAATATATTACTTGTGTATGAGATATTCACCAATGTGTGGTCTCTGATATGTTTAAATAAATAAAACTATACAAGTTTCGTTGAGTTGAATTTTCATTTCAGGATATAGCAGCTGTAGTGGAAAATGACAAATCATCCTTGCTAGATCTGCGCTATGCCGCCGAAACATTGTCCCTTCTCAAACAGACCATTCCCAACCCTACAAAAGTCGTTCAACTCATCCAGGCTAAGCTGAAAGAAGATGACAGCCTTCAGAATATCGGCCATGCCTTACATCTCTCAGCTCTCTTAGGAAACGCAGGAAAATTTGCCCAAGATCGCATCGAAGATGTAGTTGTCCAAGCAGATGAAGTAGACGGGAAAATTCTCCAATGGGAAGGAGGCCTCACCACAACTTCTCTGTTGATAACGGGGCTGCTTCGTCTGCCTGGCGCTACTCCTTTCACCCCAGTACAGGCCGAGAAATTGGCTAATTATTTGCTAACGAGGAAGACCGTTCAAACTTCTAAGGGGGTTTGGGCTCTCCTGGAAGCCGCTACGGCCCTGTCTGCAAGCAGCGTGTCCCCAGTGAGCATCTCAGTAGTGGGAAGCGCCCAGGTAACTGTTGACAAGCCGGAACTACGCATACAAGTAAGTGATTTGTTCGGGCAGGCCCTGAAGCCAGCTCCAGGAGCTGTGGTGGCTCAGTCCGTGAAGCGAGTTGCTGATGATCAGGTGGTGGCATCGAAACAAGCCTTAACAGGTGGAAGCAGCACTACTGAGTTCGTTCTTGTCCTGAAACAAGAGCCTGGGTTCTATCATGTTGTTTTAAGTGTAGGCAGCCATACTGCAGCGTTTAATGCCAAAATATCGGGACCCATATCGATTAAGTCTTTGGAAATTGGTTTGAGTGATGCTGATGGCAGCTCGGCTTTAAAACTGTCCCAAGTGACGTACCCTGGGAAGCTCGGGTCAACCCTCCAAGCAGATTCGAGTCAACACTTAGTGGTGAAGTTTGCGATCTCCAGAAATGTGCACCAGGCTTTCCTTAGACTCTACTCTGGCAGGAAGGAAATAGTCTTTGTTGCTGAGCAAGACACGAGCAAGCAGTATAAGGTGGAAGTTAACCTGGCAAAAGAACTCTCCAATTCCGGCACGTTTGAAATGGAGCTCATTCTAGGGGATGCCATCGTCATGAACCCCATCCGCTGGCTGCTGGGAAGCATCGAAGTCAGCCTAGGCTCAGAAGCCCCGCAGGCTACGAAGCCCATTCGGGGACCCAAGCCGGAAATCAAGCACTTGTTCCGACCGGCAGAAAAACGTCCAGCCGAGGCGGTGTCGCTGTTTTTCACAGCTCTCACAGCGTCCCCTTTCCTGATCCTCCTGATTCTATGGGGAAAACTCGGGATCAACTTTGGGAATTTTACGGTTGTCGCTCTACCATTCCACGCAGGGTTTGGAGCTAGTCTGGCGCTGTTCACACTGTTCTGGTTGAAACTGGATATGTTTGTGACTTGCGCTTGGCTGATTCCCATTGGAGGGTTCACGTTTTTGAGTGGACATAAACTGCTGAGTTGCATCGCGAGGAGTAGAAAGCAGGAAAAGTAGCAGTAGTACTCCTTGAGTAGTTTTTTTTGAACTGACAAGATTTCATTTCATTTTGTTTTCATTTGTTGTATCATCTTTCTAAGAGTGTTAAGTTAGTCCAAAATATAACTGTCACAAATTTTGTAATATAATACTTTACAAGGTGTTTAATTTTTCATTAGTAGTTTCATTCTTGACGTTTCGATTTTCGTCAAATTCATCTTCAGAACCCGAAACGTCAATTTTAGCAAGTTTATAAAATATTGCTTGGTGTTGTATACTATTATAATTACACAACACAACAAAGTTTTTGTTTCGGGGTTGAAATTAGATGATTTTAATGTATTTCCACGTGGTAAAACCGAAAGTGACCATAAAAATTATATATTAGCTCTTGTTTTCAAGATATATTATCATTATATTATATATATGTATATTGAGTTTTCAACAAATGAAATATTTCATCACCAACAGTTGGTACACATGTTTGTTTACATAACACCCCTCTCATCAGCTGTTCTTAAGTAGTAAACATAACCTATGTGAGTTTGTCAATTGTACGCACGTGGTTGCTATTGAAATTATCGTGTGAAGTTGATTTTTAAATTAATTTAAGTGCTGATCTGAAATGCCTCGAAAGTGTGTGAATTCTGTCGATAGCTTTT